AGCCCCAAAACCCGCTGTTGTAGCAGCGGGGTCAGCAGGAGAGAGGTGTACTGGCTGCAGCGCTGCACCTGCAGCTTTCCTCCGCAGGGACAAACCCCTGGCGCTCACCACGTGCCATCCTTGGCGACTCGGCATCCTTGCTCGCCCGTCCTTGGCAGCCGCTTCCCACGCAGACAGGCTGGGGGGGCTCTCCGCTCAGGAATCCGGTGCTTGGAGTTGCTCGGTGCGGTGGGAAATGCCCCTGAACCTCCGTCGCTTCAGAGACGGAGACAGACCCGCTCCCGACCCAGGCCCGCTGAAGGCACCGGCTTGCAGCAGTAACGGGTTTAGCTCAGCCTCTGGAGTTTCAAAGTGCTTGGAAATTTCTGAGGTGGAGAATGGTCTCCCTCTCCAGCACGGTGAGGGTACCAGTGCATTCTCTTGCTAGGGAGGGGGATTGCTGTTCTTCCAACCTCGCGCAGCATTAAGCTCTTTTCCTTCCCGGTAGGCACTTCACAAACACATCAGCCCCACGGCTCCCTGGCACGGGGCTCCAGATGGGATTCTGTGTCAGAACGAGCGGGACGGAAGAAAAGCTAATTGTAAATAGTGAGGAGTAAGTGACGTTCAGGCAGGAGCCTTCGTGCGAAGCTGGACGATCTCGGGTGGTGCGGGATCGACCTCTCAGGTAGTCACTCCTGGGGAAAGGTCCAGAAGTGAACGAAGAGTACAAGAGAGACTTCAGCCGTCGGGGCTGGGTGCCCCGGGCTCTCCTCACAGCTCTGGCAAGTGGGAGCAGGAACCTCCCGATTCACCCCCTGGGCACGGGTCTGACCCCCGCGGCCGCCAGCGCTTCACCGGGGCCGAGCGACGTGCGGGAGCCGTCACGTTTCTGCGGGGACAGCGCCGGTGTGGCAGCCTTCCTGGGAAGCAAATGGTGACGTGGCTACTGGGCCACTATTTCCTCAAAATCGGAGAGCTGCCGCATCTGCTCCGCTTGCATGGAGTGTCTCCGGAGAAGCTTCCTTTTGGCTCTCAAGTCGCCCCGTCTGGGCGAGCTGGGAGCGATGGGTACCAGGGACTTCAAGCCAGCGGCAAGAGGAGAGGAGGGTTT